AAATGTAGCATTAATGCACCATAAGGGGAAAATATGGTTCAAATTGTCAGTTAGCATACTAACAAGGTTCCCTCTAAAAGGGAAGGTGGACTGAAGTAAACCATGCTTTAGGTCTGCATGCATGTGCAGGCACATACCCATGGACAGGTCGATATGGGCCTACATGTCAGTAGTACAAACGTTGTCATGGAAACAAGTCAGGCGACCTAATGTACCATAACCATATCATGCCACTGATAACAAATTGGAGTTAGAGTTGGATATTTGTACATTTATGTTGTCTTTTTCTCATAAGACTGCACAAATATCACAGAATACATGTAATATAGGCCTACCTGTGTAAACCAACCGTATAGCATGGATGTGTAATGTGTGTATTGCAGTGACTGGAGAGCGCATGGCTGAGTATAATGACAGGGTAGTCCTTGGCTCTATGAACCACAAGCTGTGTGTTAGATCTGCAGGTCCTGCTGACTATTTAAAGACACAATCTAGTGCATAGTGTTGTGTGCATTAAACAGATAATAGTGTTGCATTCAGGGACCGTGTGGTTGGGGAACACTGTTGCTTTCTCTTGCAAACTGCAAATGAAGCTTTATTAGCATTGTATACAAACTGTGGTTAATAATAAATCAAGCTGTAAGCCTTGCTGTTGTGCAGTTATCCACACACGGTCTAGTTGTGCCAGACCACCCAGATTGTAGGCTACTCATGGGAAGGGGCTGTGTACGCTGGTTTTAGGGCTATATTAAAACCCTGTGTGTGTAGTTCGTGTTTCAGCTCTTACCCGTGGAGTGGTCCACAGGTCCCCCTCCGTTGTTGCTGAACAGGGCAGCATACAGGTCAGGGTATGCCTTCTCCAGAGCCATACACAAGTCGAGGAAATGGTCGCTCTCCTTGTTCATCAGCATCTTCAAAAGGTGGTCTACTTTCTCGGCGCTGGACGAACAATTCTGGTCCAGTTCGAACCTATCGAGCTGGCTCAAGGTTCCAGAAACTATCAGCAGCTCGATCACTCGGTCCGCATCTGTTATGGACTCCAATAAGTTCTGGTGGCACTGGTCTAGCAACTCTTTGTGCTTTGACTCCATGGCTATCCGCTGTAGTTCCGTAGCTTCCCAGCTAACCCAGACAGCCAAGTGGATGTTATGTCCTTACCGATCAAAAGTACCGAGCGACTAATGAACTTAACTTATCGCGGCTTGCAGAAGTTAGCCGGAGCCACCACGGCATTAGGTTGCACGGGAGATCAATTTTTATAGCATATTGAAAAAGCCACAAGAAGCCATATTTGTTGCCCAAGGCTGTTGACTGCACTAAACAGCGATACATTTTTCCATCTTACTCGTGTGTGGCTGTTCGGGTCCTTTTTTGCTTCCTCGCAAAGCACGCTTTAGCCGAACACATTTTCCCCTTCTTATGTATCATTTAAGGCGCCCTTGGACGACTCGACTGCTGGGAAAACTCACGTAACTCCGCCGATGAGCCTCTGTTACACTGTATCCTCCGCCATGTCTGAGCAACTCAGCAGCTGCTGCCCGCTGTCAATCAACGTGCCGTTCAGTGACCATATAAGGAGAAATAGGGCGGGGCTTTCGCAAAAAAACCACCTATTTCTTCAATGGGCGTAAACATCAAACCGTAGTACGTCGTAAATCCCAGGCGGAAAAATGAGAATGGAGAGAATTTGCATGAAAATATGGAGATATATTTTATATATTGACGTAGTGGTGCAGGTTGGGAAACAACAAAGTCATCCTCAGAGTAAAGCCACCTTTTATTTTTACAAAACGGAAAAATGTTTCTGGTGTCTGCAGTGGTGGAATGTAACATTTACTTGAGCACTAAATCCACTTTTGAGATATGTACTTTACTTTAGCATTTCCATTTTCTTCCACTTCTTACAGTAAATATAATTATACCTTCACTAAATGATAGTGACGGTAAAATTATGATTCGTTTTTCTTAATTTATACTTCACATATCTAGAATTTCATACACAACGTCCATTCAGCTGAATACAATAATGATATGATGTAATAAACAGTGTATGAACATTATAACAGTACAATTATCTTTACAGACTAGTGCAACAGTAACATTATCCAATAACATATTATACTACTGTATACTAGCCCATATTTATGTCTGCATTATAAGTAGGCTTATTAACATATTTAATATACATTTTCAATTCAGAATTATATATATATATATATATATATATATAACAAATTAAGAGACCACTGCAGCATATCAATTTCTCTGGTTTTACTATTTAAAGGTATGTGTTTGAGTAACATTTCTATGAACTACTGACAACATTTATCTGTGTTGGAATTCAACAGACACTGTAACGGAATGGCTGCCATATCAGAGATTGAGATTTAAGACACATTAGGAGTGGTCTCTTTTCAGAGCTGTATATAAAGGGGCATTCATGTGTTTCACTAGTAGTACCTTCTTTACTTGAGTATCATTATCTAAATGCTTCTTCCTCCATCGGTTATCTTTGTGTATATTCCATATACCTTGAATCAGTAAAACCCTTATTGACTATATTAAGATTTTTGAGGGGGGGGGAATGCTTAAGCAGCCATAAGGATATCATTTAGTCCTTGCATAATAATGCCAATGTAGACACAGGCTAACACTCCACGTTTCTATATCCAAAGCTTGCAACCCATTTCAATGCTTACTGTATCTCTGTGTTGGATAAATTAAAGAGGGCAGTGAGCCATATGTGTACATATAAGCATCATGTGATTTGTATTTGAGCAGGATTTGTAAAGGACAATATGATGGTGATGGATGCACTCTGCTTCCAGTCTGCAGCTGAATAAAGATTGTTGGCACAGAGGCAGGCGTCTGCAGGCATACCTCTCAAACCATGACCTTATTCATGCATGAACTGAATCTCATTGTGACATCTACGACGACTACTCCCCCCCTCCCCCCCTTTCACCATATCTGCCATGCTGGCTCCATAGCTTGTGCAACCATGTGCTATCCCTTTAGATGAAAAATTAATTACAAATTATTCATATCAAAGGAAATCAGGCCGCCACTGCTGACACAGATTGGACCTTTGTGTCAGTATTCTACTCACATTTGAAAAAGAAAACAGCCTTTTATCTTGGGGGTATAAATGAGTTTATTATTTAGACAAGGGCTGGTGTTTCTAGCTGTCTGATTATTTAGTGAAATATTATAAAACAGATTTGTTTATCAGACAGCCCGTATCAGAGCAGATAATAGCTTTATCTTTTATTCAAGAGACTGTCAGCAAACACATCATTTATCCTGGTGAAATTGTCTCAAACTGAACATAATGCAGTTATTTTTAATCAATATCTGAATAGAGTTATTCTACAGGGAGCTGTCAGTGCTGACAGAAGCAAAAGCATTTTACTGAACAACTTTATAGCCACTCGCTTTTTACATGCATTTATTCACTGCTTTTAGATCATGCATTCTCAACAATAGTTTATCTATTTGACCTACACCCTGGAAGGATGCAAGTGAATGAGTGTTGAATTAACTGTGCAGAACCTCAAAAAGGAGGCAACATGTTAAAAAAATAATATGGTTTTTTTGGTTATCATCATCCTTACAAAATATATTTGTTTCTCAAAGACTTACCTTGCTAAACAAAGGGTATAAATATATAATTTTAAAGACATTTTAAAATGGAAAAACATAATTTCCCCTTGATACATCACACCTCTTGAGGCCCTGTGAGGATTCCCTGATGATTAGATCAGCAATAACAGACATTAAATTAAGCAATTCATGGTTTCTAATTAACAGAGAATTACACAGCCTTCAGCATGGTTGGATCAGATGGGAGGATTCTGATCATAATTATATCAGAACTACAGTGTGGGCAGAGACAAGCCATGCAGAGGCACTTTAAATTGCCTTAGAAGACTTTTAGAATGATGGCTAAATTATCTTCTCAAAACCGATTTAATTGCGTCTAATCTTCATTAAAATTCAAGTTATTGTAATCTAAACATCTATCTAAAGCCCTCCAGCCTTTCCAGTCATTTCTGGTCAATTTGAACATGGTGTGATCAAAGATGAGTCTTCCAGCATGGCTGTAGAAAAGCTAGACTTGTTTAATATTGCCAAGGCAGCTTTATGGAAGCCATCAATAGGACGGGCCTCCCCCTCCTCACTCCATAGTTATTGATCGTAGTGCAGTTGACTTACACACACCACTGTAGCCAGCCGAGCGCAGAGCCACATCTCTAGAGTCAAGTGGTCAACAGCATTTTAAGTGAAGCCAACAGCACGTAATAAGCCAGGGAGAGCTCCATGTGCAGCCATACTGACCTCACACCCCTCGAGGAAAGAGAAATGATGGATGTGTATTGATTGTGTACAATGCACTGTATTTAAGTGTTGGAGAATAAAGACATTGTGTATTATGTTGCCTGTACTAATTCAAACTAAATTGTGATCATGCTTATTGAACTGATGCCATCCTATTAGGATCAATATTCTTCACACTGAGCATATTTAAGAGCTTTTCTTGTTGAAATTCCCACTTTTGGGGCCTCGATATAGCTCACCATGGTAGAGCTGGCCCATGTATAGGGACTCAGTTCCCATGCGCAGGACCCAGGTTCGAATGCGGCCTGGAACCATGTACGCATGTCATCCCCTCTGTTTTCCCCCTTTGAACACTGCCATCTTCAATAAAGGCTAATCTGGCCCAATTCTTTTTTAAAGAAATTCCCACTTTTTGTGTAGCTGTTGGGGTTGGATTAGGACATTACTGCCCTCTAGTGGTAAACTGAGTCTATTACCAAGTGCTAACAATGTCAGTGCATTAAAAAACGGGTTGTCACAGTTTAAGGATATTACTATTGGTTAATAAGTCAACTGATAGACACTTTTTGTATTGCACTTAAGGATTTGTTTGCTTGTGAACCAGAGGATAAATATAGGACTGGCCATGTTGTTTGTTGTATTCTTAAATAAAAACATTTGTATGAAGTTCATGTGATGGATGAACCTCAAACCCTTTCGGCGCAGGTTCTCAACATTTATTTTCTGAGATTCATGAACATAAAATCACCAACAACTGATGAAATGCAAAGCTTAAGTTTTACATGCTTAAAAAAAGATAAACCATACACATGACATATTTGCATATAAAGCCAATTGTGATTAACAAAGAAAATAACAAATATAGAAGGGACAACATAATTGCAAACATTGACAGACAACTTTGGCACTTAGCTGCAATATATTCTATGTCTGGTAACTAATTCAGCATTGCTGAAGCCTGACAATTAGCTGATAAACGTGTCAGATTTAGTTATCTGATCATATTGGCAAATTGATATAAAATATCTTAAAAATATATAGCTCTGAAAAAAATCTAATTTAATCTCTTTCAATTCTATCGTATGGCCATGCATATTCAACACAAATATCCAGCAAAGATATCACAAGTGAAAAAATATATAAAGACCTTTTTGGCATACTGTATATAGAAAAAAACAATATGTAGCAATATATATATATGTGGCTCTTGAAAAAAAGTAAACATTGCATTGAGAGTACTGGCATGGCATGCAGGTTTGCGGCATGTGCATATAGATAAGGCAAGAAACTGATATTTATAGAGCATTTCTATAATGTAGTAGTCACTGTTTCCTTTTCAGTCACTGCCGCCGCAGAACTTCAGTAGGAGCTTCTTGTAGTCTCCTGATGTGTCTCCCTGTCAATAAAACACATTTGTCAGTAAATCATTTAGATATTTGTCCCAAAAAAACAAATGTTGCTTCTAAATCATCCATGTGGCTATATGTACTAAACAGAATATATAATGATGAAGATACTTACAGAGATGTGCGTGTACAGCGACTTGCCGTAGTTTTTCACGTACTCCTGACGGATATCCAACATGTCGACCTCAGAACGGGTAACCATGATCCGGATCAGGGTTGTGTCTTTGGTCCCAGCTCCCTGAAAAAAAGCACACACACACACATACAATGAGAGCGAGGTAAATTAAATATAATGCTACACTGATCTAATTATATTTATCAAGCAAAAAAAGGGATATTCACCTTCATGGCCTTGTAAAGTCTCTCAGCGAAGTAGGCAGGTGTGTGCTTAATACACTTCACTGAAACACAAATAGTTATTTATTATCAACACAAGCAGTGTTCACATTAATTCATACTCTGTGTCCTTCTTTTTTAATAATAATCCCTTAATTATTATTAATATTATGAAAGAGCAACTTCTTACAATCACTGCAAGGTAAGTCGGAAAAGTGAACTATGAGAAATAAAACGTATGCTCACACACCATGAAAATACAACAGGAGGGCAACATTTAAAGCAGCGTTCATGAAAATGTCATATATTGTAACTCTCTTAAGGGTGTGTCACTCACAAGGACGAACCTATAGAAGATTATCTACTGAGCTTCTAAGCCTGTTTGAGGCACATGAACCTACTGGTTGAGTCTACACATTCTCAATAACACACTACCCCACTGCTAGCAGCAGGCAGCAGCTGTTTACACACTACCTGTCCAACACTGAATGGCAAACAGGAAATGTAAGCAACTCAAGGGAGAAGGTAAAATATCTAGTATTCAAATGTCAAGGTATTTCTCTTTTGGTAGGGACTAAAACAGAGCTAAAAAGGAGAGTGAATACATGATTCATCAGGTGGAAGGGAATATGGTAAACACAGGGGTCATAATGTTGCCCTATGTCTGCTTAATATTAGCTATAAAAATAGTTGATGTTAGGTCAGGGTTGCTTTTTTCAATTTGTTTCTAGATGGGATTTGTGTGCCTTCAAAAAGCCAAATGAGTAATGCAGCTATAAAAAGGCACATTTTATTTTGAAAGAAATGCAAATAAGAAATGAAAACATTGTCCAGAGGACTGAAACAAAACACAGCATCAAAACCAATGGCAAACATTCCACACTGCACGTCAAACCACTTCAAAGTGAAAACGTATGGACAGATGGAATTGCACACGATAGGAAAGATTCACATCAAACACATCTAAAAACAGAATACTGTACCATATATCTGATAATTGTTGGCAACATAAGGGGGAAAAGGAGATTATCCATTTGCCAGAACACCTTATTCAAAGATGAATTAACATAACTGAACAACAACAACAGGAAACACAATGACAATGGAAACGTTTGAATGGTTCAATTGTACGTCAAACATGTACTGTGGACACACGTCATTACCTAATTATGCAGCACAGATTGTGACTCTCACGTTACCTGGGTGTAACCCATCTAAGGATAACCTTGAAAAGGGGTGTGTGTGTGTGTGTGTGTGTGTGTGTGTGTGTGTGTGTGTGTGTGTGTGTGTGTGTGTGTGTGTGTGTGTGTGTGTGTGTGTGTGTGTGTGTGTGTGTCCTTACCCACTGCCAACATGCCACTCTCAAGGTCTCCGGACATCTCCCTTTCGATGCTCTTCTCTATATCTCTGCCACACATCTTCTGGTACTCCATAAACACTACACACACACACACACACATACACACAATCAGTAAAACTGCTACAAGGCACTACAGTTGCATTTGTGGCATGATACTCATTTAGATGATGCTTATTAATATGTCTCCATAGAGAATACCTGCTCTGAGATGAGGTTTGCTCCTTGCACACAAGATGGCATTAAACTTGGACTCATCTGTTCCCAGCTTGTTTTCTCCAGCAGCATACAGAGACTATAAGGAGAAAAGATGTGTACAGATCAATATGTTGCATCAATCAATTTGTCAAGGTAAAAGTAATATGAGACCTACCAAGGCGCAGATAAATCACCAAACTTAAAATATGAATGAGTGAAGTGGATCATACCTGAGCATCTTGTTTAGCCAGAGAGATGTCGACATGCTCACGTTCGTCACGATTACCCTGCAACATTCAGGAAAGCATAGTAATAAGCAAATGGGACAGTAGTTCCTGAGAGATATTTATAATAGTAATCTATATATAAATCATATACGGTATATATATATTATCCATACCTGAGCAAGGGAGATCAGGAGCCTGCGGAAGTGTCCGGAAGTATCCCCACTGATGGAATCCTCCAGTGTCTTCTTGTTTTCTGAAATGGCAGCAAAAATAAATGGCACAATTTAACAAACAAAAACATGTTCAAAACAAATACATACTGTTGGTTCAAGTTAGTAACCTTTGAAGGCTGATCATTAATGTTACATTTGTTGACTGAACTTTCTGAAATAGCTATTTTTTATAGCTTCAAATATGAAACAGCCATTATAACACTGGATTAATAAAGAATTAAGATTAATTTAAAACAAGACCTAGCAGCTTGTCAGGCAAATACTGAAGATAGAATGACCATTACATTACATTACATTACATTAGCATAACAGCAAACAACACAGATGAAACAAATACATAAAATCATAAAACTGAAGATTTCATAAAAGACTATAGAAACTAGTCCTTATTGACTTTAGGTGAGACAGATTCTTTGCTTAACATTTACAGTTTACAAATGTTGTGTTTGTACCCACATTAAGATAGACAGAGATTATCTACTAAAGGAATAACATTTCCAAAACAGTGTTGTGGCACTGTGGGATAAAAGAGATCACAACAGCCCCGAGGCATCTTACCTTGTTTGTAAATGCGGTTTATCTCCTTAATTTCAGCGTTGGAGCGAGAAGACAAGATCTCTATCAGACAGGCTTCATCGGTTCCGGCTCCCTGTTAGGAAACAATAACAACCTAAAAACCTCATCTTGGCCCTTTTTGTTGAAATCCTTACATAAAACTACTACTAATAGATGTATTTACTTTACTGTATAAGAATGTAACATATATACATACTTTAAAAAAGGCTCTACAATGCAAATGACATAATAACAAGAAATATAAATCATTTCACTTTGACGATAAGAAGGTGCTGAGCAATGAGTTGTGTTCCTAAGAATGTACCTTGATGGCACTGTGGAGCTCAGAAGCATCCAACTCAGCAGGGGTCTTCAGCGTGATCATGACCAGCTTCCTAAAGTCTCCAGACAGCTCTGAATGCAGGTCCTTGACCAGATCCTGAAAATGGAAACTTGGTAAGTATAACTCAAAACCATCATTAACTGCTGATGTGAAAAACAGCAAGAAGCTATGAGCTATAATGAGCTCTGAGGACATCCAATCCTCTGTTTTACTGGCAGTCCCAGCACCTGTTGTCTCTTCGTCACCAACACACTCTGCTAGGAAATCCACACTGAGCCACATGTCATCAAGTACTGAGGAAATGTGTTTGTTTTGAAAACAACTGGGTTTTTTCCAAAGTAAATAAACTTTTGTAGAAAAATGGCATCACATTAGCAACATATAGACGTATCATTAGGCATAAGAGTGTTACCTTGCCATAGGCAGTTTTGTAGGATCGGAGCAAAGGCACACGTTGCCTGTTGGAGCGATTCCCCAGTAATTCGATGATGGCTTGCTCATCAGTACCTGGGTAGATGGGACCGCAGTTTCAAATCAGAAACAGACAAAGAAACATATCTAAATGTCCAATTTCAAACATTTGATAAATACCCAAAGCAATGGGAATGGAAATATAGGCTGTCCTCGCCTCATGGAAGTCTTTGTAAGCTAACAGTCAATGGAATACTTTGACAACTTTATTGTTCTCACACTGTTTCTATAGTATCTTTGTCCCTTCACAGAAATGTGCATTAAGGCAGAAAGAGCTGTAATTGTTTTTAAGTAAGAAAAAAGAAAAACTGTGATTACAATTGTGATAGATGTGAATATACAGTTTCCTACTGGTCAGTTTTCAAAATAATTAAATAAGTCAGCACAAAGTTAAATATAGATAGAACACCACTTCCCAAATGGACAACATCCAGAACCTGGAGGATATTATTAAGCTCTGTCCATAGCACTCACCAAAGCCCTTCATGGCCTTCCTCAGCACCTCTGAGTCTCTGAGTGGGTCAGCTCCAGGGAAATCCTTGATTGTTCCCCTGAATCCTCTCTGATGTAACAACACAAGTGACATGTTATTTAACAAAAAATGAAAAACGCATTTTGGCATAACATTGAGTTACAGAGATCTATACAAAGATAGATGTTTACTTTTTTGCTTTCAGTGTGTCTTACATTGATAGGTGGAGCTATTGGCATGACTCCTCCTCCTCCTCCTCCGTAAGCTGGCATGGATGGATTTGGTGAAGGGGCCTTTGGGTAACCTGGTGAAGGTGCTGGTGCTCCTCCATACCCTGGCATGGGTTGGTTGGGTTGGGGTGCACCAGGGTACCCGGGCATTGGCTGGCCAGGCTGGCCAGGCTGGCCAGGCTGACCAGGCTGACCAGGGTAGCCCATCCCTTGGCTTTGGGGGTGTTGCATGCCTCCTCCTGGCTGTGGGTACAGGCCATATGACTGTTGGTTAGGGGCGGGGGCACCATACCCGCTGGGCTGAGCAGCAGGTGGGTACCCCCCGGGGGCTTGGGCGTACATGGATGGGTTTGGAGTAAAACCCCCCATGCTTATAGGGGTCTGGTGGGCCTGTGATTTAGAAAGATTGGCATCGCATAAAATGTGTACAGACGTTTGAAGATTCATTAATGCAAAGCAGAGATAGCCGGTCACACCTTTTTTAGATTAGATTTAGATGCATTTATTATATTTATGCAATTGATCGAATAATAACGCCTCTTACTTCAGAGGAAAAACTGTGGATAATGTCCTCATGTTTGAAACTTCTTCCAGTTATCAAAGTATCCAAAAAAAGTGTGGCCATGTTATATAATAGGATGGAAATGCATGTTAACATATAATTATAAACAAGACAATGACTCAGAAAAGAAAAGGAATGCAAATTGGATTAGATTGATAGGTTTAAAATGAATTAAGTAAATGACAGTTTTTCTCATGCGGAAAGAGAAGCTGACAGAGAAAATGGCGATGCTGAGGGTTTAAAGAAGACAATGTTTTGGAAAAATCTTACCACAAAGTGAAAGTCTGTGATATTCCATGAATGGCTTTGTAACTAATTATAACTGGGATATTCAACGCAATAATCTGATGATGTTACATCATACACATATTTCAAAAGAAAATTGGAAGAAGGTTTTTTAAGGCTAAACTCACCATGCCAGGGTTGTATCCAGGGTTGGATAAGTTGCCAAGACCAATGGAGGGGTATCCACCAGCAGGGCCCCCGCCCCAGCTGCCTGCAGCACACAACAAAGACAGAGCTGTTCAGAAGAGTTTAGGACGCATTGTGCGACTACATGCCTGATATAATTTAGAATACTAGACAGGAAGGACTGCTCTTACTGGAACTTCCTTTTTCTCGTGACCCAACTAGTTAACGTGTAGGTGAAAAGAAGCTAGACAGAGAATGGGAGTACTATGTGAGGGACTGACTGTGGGAATTGCTTCACCTAGCAACAGAAGACATTTGTTTGTTTTTGGTGAAAAAAAAATGGCATTCTTTTAACTATAGGTCTCATGATGCCTGTGGCCTAAAAACACGAGATTACTGACTGCCCCTTTCTATGATAGGCTACAAAATACCTTAACACTCTGTTTTACTAATTTTCGCTCTTCTACAAGTATATATAAATCCTCTATTGTGATTATCTGCTAGATGAGAAAGTAGGCAGCTTTGGCTAACACATTTCCCACATTTTGAAATCTTACTTTATCATAAGCAGCACAATAGCTTACCTTGAGGGGGGGCCTGTGGGTAGCCTCCAGCTTGTGGTGGGTAGCCTCCAGCCTGCGGAGGGTAGCCACCAGGCTGCTGAGGAGGATAGCCACCCGGCTGCTGAGGAGGGTAACCACCAGGTTGTTGAGGAGGGTAACCACCAGGCTGTTGAGGAGGGTAACCACCAGCCTGCGGTGGGTAGCCTCCAGCTTGGGGTGGGTAAGCTCCAGGCTGAGGTGGGTAAGCACCAGGTTGTGAAGGGTAAGCCCCAGGCTGTGGTGGGTAACCGCCGGCCTGAGGGGGGTATCCAGGGTAGCTCATGGCTTTAGGAATAAAAGTGGACTGTCAATCAAAGGTCTGCCAAAGATGACCAAATAATATGTGTTTTTATCTGTTGGTAGGACAGAAAGAAAGAGAACAAGGCTGTTAATTTGTGGGAAGATTTCCTTTTTAGTTGGTAGTTTCTCTTTAGAAAGTCAGCATCTGTGAGTTGCTCTTTTTAGGGCTTCCAAAGTTTCTTGCCTTAGATGTCCAAGTCAAACAATGCTGACTTCATGACAAGGTCAATTCATTCTGTTAACCTTAGCCGTTTCTCAGTACACTGTCATGTTTGTTTAGTACTGTTTACCAAAAATGATACCCTTAGTACAATGACATAGCAGAAAGAGAGTTTAAAAATTCACCCAGCTCTAAACCAAACCCTCCTTAAATTTATTCTTTGACAAGGCGGAAACAATCTGAATTTTCCAGAGCTGGGGCAATTCTATAATACGATTTAAAAAATATAGAGCCGGCATAAATTCATTTTAGAAGGACAATACTAGTCTGTTCTACGTGTTTCTTGATTCTGTATTAAAAACATGTCTGCACTCCCCAGTCTTTTTTTTTAATGTAGCAACGTTCTGAAGTGTCACTGCAATCAATCCAAATAATTGCAAACAGTTGGTTCCAGGGCCATTGGGTCATAGACATTATTAGTTTAGTGGTGGGTTGGTGAGGAAACTTTCTTTTTGGTTTTAGCCTAACATGAAATGCCCTTGCCCAGTATGCCTACTTGTTCCATGGTAAGACTGACTTCACAGGTTCACAGTTTCTCTGCTTTGCATTTTATGGACACAGAAACAGACATGGCTGTGTTTGAATAGGCACACAAAGCAGGGAACCTATGAAATAAAATGTCCAATTCAATAAGATAAAAGCTTTTAAGGTTCAGTAAATAAATAACGTATTATATTACCTACTTTCAGATTCTTGTAGGAAAAATATGTCAATATAGAGACAGCTTGAGTGTTGTTTTTAACCCATTCATCCTTATGCCCTAAGTCTAGTGCCTTTCTGAAACACATTTGGTCACAACACATAGTTTCACTTCTTTAGGGTCAGATGGTTCAGGTTTAACACAACACATTTCCTTGCTGTTCAGGTGAAAACATCTCGCATTATGGCGCATTTCCACTACAGCGCGGAGCGCTTCAAACTGTGAGAAGCTGTGGCTTTACAGAAACACAATGCACGTGCGAATCTTAACACCAATGTAGGCAACAGCCATAATGTTAATTGCTTAGGGAGTAAAGAATTGTAAAGTTTTTGGGTAAAATGTGTTACAAATAACCAAAGTCCACAATATGGGGCAATAATACCTTCCAAATGTGTGTTAAGACAGTGTCTTTAGCTAACCGTACCATCTTGTTCCATTGTGTTTTATTGCAGGGTGTGTCAAGTTTACTCAGTTTTTTTTTTAAAAGATCGGCGAAACATTAATGACTTTACTGGGGTAGTGAGAACACTGCACAGATAGTTTAACAATATGCTAAACAGTCAATAGAATAATTAGTCAATGGAAAACAGACATTAATCTGGCTTGTGTGTAACACTTACACAACTTTCGTTTTTAACCGAACGCTAGCTTTTACAACGCGGGCTTAAGGCCTGTAGCCTACTAATCTTCAATCAATTTACATAATGTGGCTGTATCTGCAGCGCTCTGAGCTGTAACTAAGCTAACCTAGCTAGCTGGTTAAGCATAAATAAGCTGTCGATATTAAAGCAGCACACTGGAGCAAAAGCAAGACGAGGATTGTGTAAGCTTAAATGGTTAAAGACACTGGTAACTATGCATTGGTAGGCTAACGACAGCGCCGAGAACAACAGAGCAACGACTACAAAACGACTACAAAAATAGTTCCCATTTATCCACACATAACTTGTAATGTAAGCTAATAGGCCTATATCATTTACCATTCTAGCTCGGCCTGAATAGTTGTTGGATTTTAGCACTTACTTTAGTCTGCTTGCAGTCTCTTCCTGGAGGACGTAGCTCTCTATTAAGCAGCTTCAGTTCTGTCTGTACTTGACTGCTGTGGGTGGGACTCAGAGTTTCCATTTAAAGAACCCAGCCAGATGTCTGACCGTCACACTACAGCAGTGACACATACAGCTGTCCTGTCACCACCATGTGACAATAACAAATATGAGTTAACTATACATACCTGGCCATCAATGGCATGATGGAAAATGTGACAGACCGACCTCACCTATATGTTCACAATAGGTCTTTTATTTCACAGGCATGTTGTCAAATAAATTACCACTAACATGATGGTCTTTAGGTCTACTGATCCACATTTACGAATGATTAACAATCAGATTATATAAAGGGATACATGATATATTGGTTTAATTTACGGAGGGGGCTCTGCAAATTAAACCAATAATAATCATAAACTCAATTTGTATCAGCCCTTTTATTCACAATTATACTAAACGCTTTAAAGAAAGTAAAAGTAGATAAAAACACGTTTTAATGATTTTATTAAATGCATTGTGACTGGTTATTGTGACTTGGCTGTGATCATAACCTATCAACACTAATGAGGAAGGGATATCTTTATCTGTCACTGATCATAAGAAGGAAACTGAGTAACCCTTGAGTAAAAAAACAAGGAAGCTGTACACACTTCAGTTAGGAATTACACAACTGTGCTGTCTGTGTGTGTGAAATACATTTGACACAAGAGGGAGCCAGTCTAAAGGTTTTCTCCACACTACCTCGGTTTCTACCAATAAAGTGTATAAACTGTCACCTAGCGGGTGTCTTGGAGTATGCGAGGCGCTCAATAAAGAGGCCGGGGCCTGGTGTTCAATTATTATTAGCATTTTCTAATAGTATGTGCCTTACTCACGAATGATCAATTTCTTTATTTTGTTCCATTATTTTGCAGACGGCTGATCAACTTTTCTGTCAGAATTTGGAATTGAATGAGCTATGGGAGAAACACTGTTTACCTAATGTTAAGCCTTTACTAAATTAGCATAAGTCACAGGGACACTCCAAATAATAGTAAGGTGTCTATCACTTCTAACCATAAATAAACAAAACACCTATCATCCCCTCCCCTCCAAACACCGACAAACAAATGTTATTAGTACCGTATCGGAACCGTACTAGGTTACTAGTAGCCTACATGGCATCATAAGGCTAACAATTATGATTATGTTTAATTATGTATTACAATTGTTTAGTTTCATTGGCTAAGTTGGCAGAGTATATTAACCTTGGTAAAAATATCTGATGGATTTAATGTCTAGAAGAGCCAGATGAACCATTTGTCTCATCCAGTGGGCTGGTCGTGAATATTCATCCGAACTAATCGCTGATTGGTCTGCGTGCTCTGTGACGTAGAGCCGTCCTCATTACATATTCAAACAGCCTCTCTCTGCCCCGCTGCAATAAAGGCAGATAGCTGACCATGGGGAGCAGGGGAAAACTTTTTATACTGACATGTTAGCGCAATGACTTTTGAGTAACATCTAACTGGGACGAGGCTCCCGGCGTGAGGAGGACAGGGCCCTTTACGGGGATAAAAAAGGAGCACTTGCCATCTGCCGGGGAACGAAAAGCAAAGACGGCAAAAGAGTTGAGACCTGTCCAAGAATCAGCGGTGGAAAATCCAGTTTAGCCATTTGAATTGAAAGATGAGCTTGTTGTCTGCCATAGACACGAGTGCCTCCGTGTACCAGCCTGCGCAACTTCTCAACTGGGTCTATCTTTCCTTACAAGACCCCCACCAGACCAGCGCCTTTGACGCATTCAGACCCGAACCCAACTCTTCCCACCCGGATCTCAGTTTCAGCAAGACTCCCGCAGCGGCGGAGCTGAGCTCGTCCCTGAACTCCAACTATCTCAACAACTTCTTTCAGCTGCAGCGCAATGAGGTGAAACATGCATGCATACATATCTGGAGTTATTAAAGTTTGTGAGATTTTGGTTGAATTGACTAACCTATCGCAAGCAACCGCGTGATCTGTTGACTGTGCAGCAAATGTTTTAACATACAGTATGGGCTATTCTGGTAGGATACACTAAACCGCCATGACATTTATAATATAGACAACAATTAAATGAATCTTATTTAATTAACATTTCAGGGCCTTTTGTTTATTGTTTAAACATATAAAATAATGTATTCGATTCTTAATAAGTACTGTATTGTCATTCTTTTACAAGAAAAAGCTTGGCTTAAGAAGAGCCCACTGTAATATTATTATAAATGAGGGAAATATGAACATCATGATTCCATAAAAGGTTGGCCTTATCAGTACACAGTGTCTCTATAAACGTACTGACTCATTAGTTATACTTTAATTGCAGGAACATTATAGGATTGTTTGGAATCAATTGAAACTTATTAAAGCTTGATCTATAAATAAAAAGTGAAATAGCTAAATATCACAACAAGGTTTCTAAGTATACAGAATTAAATTCCTTGTCCCTAAGATGTTATTGAATAATTCAGATGAATTACGGTTGAACCTTAAGGGAAAGCTGTTGAGCAAAACTATGTTTTAATCAGATATGTGTGTGATCAGAGAGGTAAAGAGGGACAGATGGAAATAGACTGCCCTGCACGCCTCTGTCTGGTGAGAGGAGGCCACTGCAGCCTCCTGCTGAGGTCTGCTGCCTCTCTCCTTCAAATAGACCAGGTTGTGCAAACAAAATCCATCCTTGTTTACATTTTGACTATTTTTGTAGTGCAGTGTAATTTTAGGGGCAAACATGCAGATAATGTATGCATCGGGCTAACCTGATACTGCAGACCATACTGTGCAGAAAGGAGCCCCATCGCCACACCCACACATACATACAGCACACAGGAAAACAAGCACATACTGTGGGCCAAATGGCAGTGTAAAGACTTTAAAGCAAGCCTCCCAGTGTGTTGAATAGACTTTAGTTCAGTTCCTTAGATCTATGTTACTTTGACGCTATGTGTTGGAAACTGCAGGAAACAGAAGAAGTAGATGGATGGTGTATTCACCTTCTAGAGTAGTGTCCATTATTATGGTGGTAACCATAGAGGCCCTTTGAAGTTATTTAACATGAAACAGTCCTCTGAAAATTGGGTGTGCACATTATACATTACACGCAATTGTGTAATGCCATTCAATCCGCATGAGTAGTATAAGTGTTTCAAACTGAGGGAAGACGTACAGTCTGGAAACGGTTTAAGGGGTGGGGGTATTTTGCAACTTACTTTACATGCTAAGCCAAGTAAAATAAACCTCTGCAGAGATTTGATGATGAGATGACTAATGCAGAATGGTTGTTTTTGCAGTGAAGGATCACACAACAGTCCACTTAAATTATAATAGAATAATTGGTTGTTGATCTGAAACTCACACAAATCAATTGTGCGTACCACAGTCTGAAAGCAGATATTTCTTTCTCCTATGAAGACACATTCTTAAATGTGACTTATTAACATGTGTATTTATTCTGGATTAATCTAACCCTGTAGTCATTTCCTGTGGAATGTATTATACCTCAAATCAGTACGAGACACCAGTACCCAGTGTATGTGTGACACTGCAGTTCAGTACCAGTGTCCTTAAAGTGATACCAATACCAATGGTACCAATTTGATACCAATCATGTTAATGGAAGCATTCAGTTTCCAACACAACTTCTTGGCTATGATCAAAACTGTATAAAAAGTGTTTTCTTCCCTACATCTTGATATAAAAGCGATTGAATACAGATATTGTTTGACTGAAAAGTTTCCATATCTTTTGCTGCTAGATTATTTTGGTTAATACAGCAATTCACAGCCCCAGTGAATGCTAATGATACCAGTTAAGTCCTCATCGTCCAGGCCACTGCATACATTCACATCCATCGCCACACATATACACACACAACCTCCTGCTGAGTCTCTCACTCACTCACTAACTCATTCACTCACTTTTTCACACACACACACACACACACACACACACACACACACACACACACACACACACACACACACACACACACACACACACACACAAAATAAACAAACCCACCATTAGCAGATGTGTGTGAAATCAGTTTCCTCTGGGCTGACAGTAGAAGGTTTTAAGCCAAACTGAAGAAATATGAGGAAGACTAAGTTAGCAAAGTGTTCTGTTTTATATTTGTTGAAATAACTTTACAACCTGCACTAAGAATTAAGTTTAGCAAAAACAAAAACATGCACATGTCCACAAGGAGAGATAACACAGTAATACACTGAGCTGAAACACATGGCAGATGGAAAACTTGAGAAACTACGAGCCTTTATGCATGATTTATGACGACTACATGAAATAAATGAACATGAGTTTTAAAGCTGGAGCTGGTTTGCAACACAATCTCACAGCCCGCAGATAAAGATTTGGCGTTCAGCCCTGGCCAAGTTGCCAAGTCTAAGGTTTCTGCGCTGTGCAACATTGAACATCTACAGTAACATTATTTCCCAGACATAAAACTGTGACTGAAAAAAAGACATATCCGTCAGCTGACGATGAAGAGTTCAGTTAATCATGTTTATGTACTCAGAGATGTTTCTACTTGTTGAGGGTGTTTCAAATATTTGTCCTTATTGCATTTAAACTATTAAATGTCATGGCAGATGACCATTTAGAGCATCCTGACCATCTAAAAATGAAAATGCCTGCGCTAAAATCCACATAATTTCACACTGAAGTCAATTCCTGCCTGTTGTTCGTGGTAACATTTCAACAAAGGAGGATAGGAATGAGAAAGGAAATAAGGAACTGCTGGAAATGCTTTCCCTGTTATTAATATTCAGAGGGCATCTTCTATGAATTCACTGGGCCCTGTGGCATGCCACACTGCTCCCTGTGGCTCCGAGCAGACTACAAACACTGACCATGGCTAGTTTACCGCCAACAGTGCATGGTGACATTGCTGATGTTCCACAGGCTGGCGAGGAAACATGCCTCCCATCTTGTTTACAATGAGTCATCCTCTGTAAAGTCCTGTCTTTCTCTGTGGACATGCTCAGTACTTTTCCAGCTCATGAGCACAGCTGGGCCTCTCGCCAGATGTTCTGAATTTAATGAG